AAACAAGTCAAATGGCTCCAGAAGTTGCAGGTGCAAAAAAAGCAGCTACTACTTCTAGATAGAGTAGACAGTGAATGAACTGAGGGTTTAGGAGAGCCCCCTTTGAACCAAGGCTGAGATTCTAACCTCTTCAAAGAGGGCTTGATTACTACAGGAGCAGACAACCTGTTGAAGAAGCATGCCACAGGGTGTGGGCCAGAGCTGGTCTGTAAAAGTGGCCCACCAAGTGGGGAGACAACTAGGGTTGCCAGCTTTAGCAAATAAAAATACATGCCCAATATTGTATGGGATATGCTCATCCTAAAAAGTATTCATTATTTAACTGCAATTCAAATCTAAATGGATGTCTTGTATTTTATCTGTCAATCTTAGAGTTGCAGGCTGGTGCAGCCAAAGCTGCCATGAAAGCAGCTACAGATGGGGAGAGAGTGTGGCTGGAGGGTGTAGCTGGGGCAGATCCCAAGGACCACTGAGGTGAGCACCATTGGGTCTTCTGTACACTAATCCCACACTGAATAAAAAAGAGAAGAGTACTGGAATCCATAAAGGAAGTGCCTTCCTGCCACTATCACCTTGCATTGTTCCCCCAGTGCCCTCTGTTGACAAAGCCTATCATTGAGCCAATTGGCATAGGAGAAATGTCTTACAAAGCAAGGAAAAGAAGAGTGAACTAGGGGCTGAGAGAGCCCTCTTGAAGGGCCTTGCAACCTGAATGCCATTTCCCTACTCTGCTTTCTAGTGTCCACTTAAGTCACTTTCACTAAGAGAACTGCCTTTCTTTACCCCACGATCTAAATCAGTAGCTTCTCAAACTGTCTTACATTTTTCCTTTAGAATATTAATTATAATTTTTAATTATATTTAATTGTTCATGTTTTATTTCTTTAAAACCTGTGCTCTCGAAAATAAAAATAAAATGAAACCTGTGCTCTCCACTAACCTGAAAGCTGGTGACTATTTCTTCAATCCTGCATATATTCAGTACATGGTAAATAATAGGTGCTCAATAAATGTTTGTTGAATTAATTAAATTATCTCAGACAATCTGGTTTGACAACATGACTCTAGACATTGTCCTCATAGTACTAGCAGCTGGAGTACTGGGTGGAGGTGGTAATAGCTGGCACTAAAGGACCGAATCAGGGCCAGTTCTTTATGCCATGCAAAGTAATTTGAACTTTTCTTTATCCTGAAGACCACAGGGAGCCATTGATCCAAACTGTGTTTAGTCAAAACATGTTCCAGGTTCCAGACTTGATGAGAAATTAGACGGATGGTGGATCCTTAGTTACTGGAGTGAGAAAAGGAAGAGAAGAATGTTTGGGTTGAACTATCACCTACGTGCTACTGACTCCCATCTCTATATCCAGCCTGAATCTCCCTTCTAAACTACATGTCATTACCTACTGGTTATTTCTACCTTCATCACCCATGTCCAGGCTCTATATATTGAAAAATGGATCCATTAGCTCTCATCTTCTGCTCTCTAACTAGCTCCTATCCTTACTCATCCTCACACAGAGTGGAGATCCTCGACTGAGAAGAGAACTGAGGACAGAACTCTTAGGTCCGTCCGTGTTTAAGGGTAAGAGGCAGAGAAGCTTGCAAAGAAAAATAAGAGCTGCCTCACAGGTGAGAGAAATACTGAAGGTCTGTGATGTCACAGAAATCAAGAAGACAAAAGTTCAAGGACATAGAAGTAGTCAAAGTGTCAAATGCTGCAGAGAGGGAAAATACAAGTCACAAGAAAAAAGACCACTGAATTTAGCAATATGAAAGTCATTGGTGACTTTAAAGTGAGCATTTTCAGTGAAGTAGTGGAGGCAGAATGTGGACTGCAGTAAGTTGAGTGGGGAGTAAGTTAGCCAGTGCAGACCACTGTCCTGGGTCATTGGCAGAGGACATGGTTTTAAGGAATCAATCATCTTTTAAAAAAATCTAGATATAATAAACTATGCCTAAATCACAACAGTAAATGACCGCCTAAAAGCAGTTCCATCATTCAAACACTTGGAAATACAAAACAAAAAATATTCACCATGTATTTCCTTTTAATGTAAAAAGTAAATGGGAACTACAGTTAAAGAATGCATATGTTTTTGTGCATGTGTATACTGTTTCTCTAAGATATTTAGAAGTTGAATGATGGGTTAAAGAAATGTGAATTGTAAAAACTGTATATTATATATTGTCAAGTTACCCTCTTAAAAGGCTGTACACCATTTTACATGGCAACCAATTATGTCAGAAAGCACTAATTTCCCCTTACCTTAACCATTACTGGTTGTTATCAAACTTTTTTTTTTTTTTTTAAAGATGACCGGTAAGGGGATCTTAACCCTTGACTTGGTGTTGTCAGCACCACACTCTCCCAAGTGAGCCACGTGCTGGCCCTAGTTATCAAACTTTTCTTTTTGCCAATCTGATGAGTATAAAATGATCTCTTTAATTGTATTTCCCTAATTACAGTAAAATTAATCATTTTTTCATGATAATTGGCCATTCGTGTTTCTTTTGTGACATGTCTGTTTATATCATATGTCCATTTCTTTTTCTTTCTTTTTTTTTTTTTAAAAGATGACCAGTAAGGAGATCCCAACCCTTGGCTTGGTGTTATCAGCACCACACTCTCCCGAGTGAGCCACGGGCCGGCCCTCATATGTCCATTTCTTTTCTTTTTTTTTTTTTTTTTAAAGATGACCGGTAAGGGGATCTTAACCCTTGACTTGGTGTTGTCAGCACCACGCTCAGCCAGTGAGCGAACCGGCCATCCCTATGTGGGATCCGAACCCGGGGCCTTGGTGTTATCAGCACCGCACTCTCCCGACTGAGCCACGGGCCGGCCCATCATATGTCCATTTCTTGATGTATCCTCCACCTAGGCTCCTCAGGATTACCTCAGATTAAGATCAGTTAAGAGCTCACCATCAAAAGCTATCAAACACATAAGGAAATAAGACTTGTACAAGAGATTCAATAGAAAACAGCAGAATCTGACCTCAAAGGACTTAGACATTGTAATAATCATACATTGAATTTGTAGTATTTCATATGCCTTTAAAAATAAAAGATGCAACAAAAATATGAGCAAGGAATGTTGTAACACCAAGGTCAAGGGTTTGAGTCCCATACCAGCCAGCCACAACAACAACAACAACAAAAAGCAGAGAAGTGACTGTCAAATGATTAGCCAGATTTTTTAAAGACACTAATGTAGAGCCTCTAGACATTAAAAATACAATAGCTTAAATTAAAAATTTAATGGATTGACTAAACAAATTAGATACAGCTGAAGAAGAGAATCTGTATATTGGAAGAGTACAGAGAAACAAAAGGTAGAAAATATGAAGAGAGCATGGAGAATAGAATGAAAAGCTTAAAATACACTTAAGTTGTATAAAGAAAGAAAACAATAATTTGGGATGGGCAATACTCAAACAAATAATGGCAAGAATTATCCAGAATTCTTGAAGATAGGAATTCTGAAACAGAAAAACTGTAAAAATGAGAGAGTTCAGTAAAATAGCTGTGTAAAGAATAGTAATATACCATAAATTATTTGTACATGTGTTTTAGAATTTCCACACTTTTTTTGTTATTGATTCCTAGCCTTTTCTTATTTTGATGGCTGGCTGGCGCAGGGATATGAACCCTTGACCTTGGTGTTATCAACACTGTGCTCTAACCAACTGAGCTAACCGGTCAGGCAGGTTAACCTAATTTCTTTATGGCCAGGAAATATATGTTACTTTTTTTTTATCTCAGAAATTCTGGTTGTTAGCTGGCTTAAATGAGATAAAGACATAAAACATTAGCACAGAGCATGCAAAACGCTGAGTTCTTGATAAATAGTCATTATTATTCTATTTCTCAGATCCTGGTTTGCCACATAGTTGGAATTTTCAAAAATATCACTTCTGCAATGCTTTTTTTTTTTTTACTCATATAATAATTACACCACTATAATATATCTTGATGCCAGGGAGGCTCACTGTGAATTAGTAGCTTGACTCGGGCATCACAACAAAAATCTACCTCAAGGTTGAAATGACACTCAAACAATGGGGAAAGGAGGCTTTTTGTGTCAAACCATGACTTGAGAGTTTTTATAATTCTGAGAATTCTATTTAAAGAAGAGGGCTCAGATAGGGCTTCTATGATGGCAATGCTTCTTCAAAGGCCCTTCTTTGAAATGGGAAAACCCTTAGTGTTTAGTTTGGAAGAAAGAAACCTCTTAGAAATGGGGTTGCTTGATAGCTGCCTTCAAATGCGCATGACTGGAACATATGATGTGTCTCAACTGAAAACCCACAGATCTCTTAGGACCCATTAGGGCAATTCCATTGAAAAAAAGTCAAACACTCTCTTTACAGCAAAGTTTCTCAATTTTGACACTATTGATATTTTGGACCAGATAATTCTTTGTTGTGAGAGACTGTTCTGTGCTTTGTAGGATCTTTAACAACATCGTTGGCCTCTACTCACTAGATGCCAGTAGTAGTATTCCCAGTTGAGAACCACTGCCTCCTTAGGTAATCACTTGGCCCAATATGATCATAAACACAACCAGGCATAGAAAATTCACAGTATTGTTAGAAAGTGATCATCTAGATGATCTAGGACATACTGATGACCATTTTAAACATTTATAATTAAAATGGAAAGAAAACTGAAAAAGTCTTCCAGAAAAATGGTGCCGCTCTCTCTCTACCTCCAGTTTAAGAAACAATATTCCCTTAGTATAGAATGGTGAAAAAACAACAACAACATTACAAACCTCAGGCCTGGAAAGGACCATTTCTCTTATAAATACTGACGGTCTCCAACTCATGATGTTTCACTTACCGATTTTTCGACTTTATGATGAGGCTATAAAGCATTATGCATTCCGTGGAACCATACTTCGAGTACCCATTTGAAACCATTGTTTTTCACTTTCAGTACAGTATTCAATAAATTACACGAGATATTCAACACTTTATTATAAAATAGGCTTTGCATTAAATGATTTTGTCCAACTGTAGGCTAACGTCAGTGTTTTGAGCATTTTTAAGGTAGGCTTGGCTAAACTGTGATGTTCGGTAGGTTAGATGTATAAATGCATTTTCTACTTGACGATATTTTCAACTGGCTGGATCTAGATGTGAGAGCCCATCGTAAGCTGAGGAACATCTGTAGTTGAGAAGACTAAGGTTTCTCAATGGTAAAGCAACCAGCCCACAGCGCCACCACCAGTAAGTAGCTGGACTAGGCCTAGGGCTTTGCAACACACACAGGACTCACCCTGAAACACTGTATTCAAGAGCTATCTCCAGTCATGAACAAAGAGCGTTTAGATTTATTCTGTGTGATTCCAAGAACCCTAGGATATACAGAAAGCGATTTCAGTTCTGTATTATAGGAAACGTTCGAGTTATTATGTAAAAGACTACTTAACAGAGAAAAAGATAATTTGTCATAAACATACAAGTGATAGAAAGAAACTTCGAATATTCTGGTGAGCACGACCTCCAAACAAACTCTAATTCGCAGCTGACATCTGCTAATAACAGAAAAATCTCGGGTGATTTTTACGTCAATTACCAGTGGACTCTATTCAGAAATAGGACTCTCTCGGGCCTGAAGTAGTCCTGACCAGTCCTAGAGCTCTGTGGGTGCCTTCCATACCAGCAGGGCCGGCCAGCAGCCCTCCAGTCCCAGCGAAGAAACCTGAGTGTTACAGCCTCCAGGGCGGCGTGGCTTCCATCACTGAAACTCCTAGCAATTCTCAGCGGTCTTCAGGAGGAAAAAACTACAACTCCCATCAGACAACGCGAGCTGAGGTGGGTGGGCATTTGGTGCGCGTGGGCGGCTCCGACCAATAACGACTGTCGTTACAGCGAACAGTTTGGTCGCGTTTGTAAAAGGCCGCGGCAGGCGAAGAGAGAAGCGGTGACGGCGGTCGTCAGCGAAGGACCCTGGGGCCCGCTGGGGGGCGCCGGGCAGGTAAAGGTGGCATGCTGAGAGAGAACTGAGGCAGCGGTAGGAGAGGAGTGTAGAGCTCGGGATTCCGGCGGAGAGAGCGTCCAAGGGGCACGGTGCCGGCGACGTGATGCTTCTGCCTGGGCCTACTTAGGACCGGAAGTGAGCCGTCGTGCGGGGAGGATGCCGGGAAGCAGGTCCCGGGGGATGTGTGTCTCGGGGCGGGCTGGTCCCGGAAGCCGGGCGGGAGTTGCGCGTCCCGGAGGCCTGGTGCCCGGACGCGGGTCTGCAGGGCTCCGGCGGCCTTTCTCCGCTATTCCGAGGCAGCACAGGGCTAATGTGCCCCTTTCTCTCAGTAGTGGTTTGAGAAGCAATCCAGTAGATTCCAAACTCACGTTAGATACCTGCTCGCTGTGACACATTGGTCTATTAGAGTCACAGTGTCCTTCCTCTGGGATGAGTAAAATAGTGTCTGTTTCACGGGATCGTGTGAGCAGTACGTGAATAAATGCATAGAAAGGGCTTAACACGGGGTGTCCTCGGCTAGTTTTGTTTTTTATTCGTGGTAATTATTTGTTCTCTTCACCTAACTGTGCTTCACAAGCATTAGACAGCATCCACCAAACTGTATATTTGTAGATTTACAGCCAAACTGTACCTAGATGAAAACCCACCATTTCCAGGGAATATTAACTCGTTCAGCACCAGTCCCTTTATACCCTCTTGCTAGAGGAAGCTGTTGTAAACTTGCCTAAAAGACACTATCTACAAGAGGCCTTTCAGGTTTCAAACACAAGTTCTTTACAAGACGTTTAATTGTTTGTGTTTGCTTTCAAAATAGAATCTGTAATGAGTGAAACTAGCGCAGTACATGTTTTAAAGTTCTAATAGTACGAAACAGTGAAATGTAAGTGTCCCGCCCTCTATTTCCCAAGTCCCAAGGCACTTCTGAGACAATATACATATTCTGTGTATATATATATCTTCCTTCTTTTTTCTTTTAAAACCAAGAGTAGCATATTACACATAAAGTAGTACACCTTTTTTCACTCCTCAATATGTCTTGATACTTGTTCCTTATCAATACATATAGATCTGATTCTTTTTAATGGCTTTATAGTAGCGTATTGTGTGGTTACATCCTAATTTATTTAGTCAGTTCTCTAGTGATGAGCTCTTAAACTGTTTATGTTCTTGTGCAATTATGGACATTCTTGCAGCGAATATCACTGTACGTACTTTGTATACATGTGAGAATATAACTCATGACCTGTTAGAAGTGGAATTGCTAAATCGAAGTCTGTGTTTCACATTTACTTTATTTCACCCCTTCAAAAAGAGTGCTGAAGTTTACACTGCCACCAGTAGTGTAGAGTGCCTGTTTCACCATGTCCTCATGAATGCAGTGATAACATTCATCTTTTTTTGCCACTTTACCGAAGTGTTATATTGTTTGCGTGTGTGTTTTACTATTGGGGTTTTTTTGGTGGCTGGCCAGTATGTATTATTTTGTTTTATTTTGCCTCTCATTTATTGTAAGGTTGAGTATCTTTTCACACACTTAAAATAATTTTTATTATTTCTTTTCCATAGCTGTCCTTTCATTGTCCTTTGCCCATTTTTCAAGTGGATTTGTTGCTTTTTTTAATTGACTTTTTAAAACTCTTAGGAAATTATCCCTTTGGCATTTGACTTTCAAACATTTTTGTTCTGTTTTTAAATAACAGCTTTACTGAAATATAATTAACAGAATATAAAATTCACCCTTTTAAAGTGTTATGGTTCAGTGGTTTTAGGGTATTCACAGAGTTGTGCAAACTTTTCTCACCCCAAAAAGAAACCTCATACCCATTAGCGATCACTCTCAATTCCTCCTTACCGCCAGCCTCTGGCAACTACTAAATCTACTTTCTGTCTCTTTGCAGTTGTCTATTCCGAATATTTCATTGAAATTGAATCATACAATATGTGGTCTTTTGTGTCTGGCTTCATTCTCCTAGTATATTATTTCAAATGAATAAATAAGCATGTGAAATGTTGTTCAACATTATTAGTCATTAGAGAAATGCAAATAAAACCACAGTGAGATACCACTTAACACCCACTGTAATCAAGTGGTTTTAATCAGGAAAACGATAACAAATGTCGGCCAGGAAGCGGAGAAATAAGAATCCTCTTATGTTGCTTGTAGGAATGTAAAGTGGTGCAACCATTTTGGAAAACAGACGTTTTCTTAAAAAGTTAAATGTACACTTAACTGTATGACCCAACAATTCCACTTCTAGGTATCTCCCCAAGGGAAATGAAAGCATTTGTTTACATAAAGACTTGCACATTAATGTTCTCAGCAGCTTTGTCACAATAGCCAAAATTTGGAAACAGTCCAGATGTCCCTCAGCTAGTGAACAGATAAACAAAATGTGATTTATCCATATGACATACTATTCAGCAGTACAAAGGAATGAAGAACTGATACATGCTGCTAGGTGGCTGAACCTTGAAAACATTATGTTGAGTGAAAAAAAACCAAACATTAAAGGCCTCATATTGTATGATTCCATTTATATGAAATGTCCAGAAAAGATAAATCTGTAGAGACAAAAAGCAAATTAGTGATTGCCTGCAGCTGAGGATGGGAATGATGATTGACTGCAAAGGGCAAAAGAGATGTTTTGGGGGTGATGGAAGGGTTCTAAAACTGGATTGTAGTGATGGATGCTTGACTGTATAAACTTAATCAGTATCATTGAAACATACACTTAAAATTGGTGAATTTTATGATAAATCTCAGTACAGTGTTTTTTTTTATTTGTTTGTTTAAGGCACTGATATATAGAGGAAGAAATTTAATCAGTATTTTATGGACTTTTGAGTTTTGTGTCATTTAGGCTATCCCCATTCTGGGATCTTTAAAAATATATATTTTTAAAATCCACCTCCCCCTTTTTTGTTTTTTGTTTTAATATTATAACCGTTGCACCTTTTGTGCATGAATGTTTTCTCAGTCTGGAATTTATTTGGGAATTTATTTATTTTATGTTTCTTTGGAATTTGTAGGAAGTGAGACAAGATAAATAAGATACATTTAATAATCATCTTTGCCCTCACATTTTTTTCTCTTTATATTGTATAATTTTAAGAAATTTTAGTAAGTTAGTTTATTGTTTAAAAAGCATTTAAATCCCCTTCCTTTGTTCACATTTAAAAATCACTCCTGTTAACGAGTGGATTACAGAAGATGTGGAAGGAAAATATTTTATTAAGACTGTCCCTTGGGATGGGGGGAGGGAGGAAAGCAATGCTAACAGCCTATTGAAAAGTCACAAGCAGATTACCTTTTTAAAAAATGTTTAAAATATGGAACTTTAGTTAATAATATGCGTGCTGAACTGATGCTTGCAACTTACTTTGAAATGCATCAAAACATAAGAGGGATTGATGGATGGAGAGGGGGATGGATAAATAGATATGTGTTAAAGCAAATAAATATGGTAAATTTTTAATTGTAAAATTTAGTGGATAGGCGTATGGGAGTTCACTGTATAATTCTATTTTTCTATATGTTTGAAAATTCTTATAATAAAATATTGGGGGGGAAATCGCAAGTAGAGATTCACACTCTTAGATTCTGTGGGTTAGTGAAAACTGCATTGCTGATTTTGTTGGGTGACTTCAGGTTGTTACTTAATTTCTTTATTTTCATCTGTAGAGCAGTTGTTTAGTAAATGAAGTACTGATATTGTGAAGTTCAGATGGAATAATGAATGCGAAAGCACTTTGAAAAGCATAACGTACTCTAAAAAAGTAATGCATTACTATTAGGAAGAATGAGTATTTAGCCAATTTTCCACCATGGCTCTAGGTGTTCTTGACAACCTCCTGTGTAATGGCATTAGAAAGTTTTACCTTCTTGCACTTGGAAGTACAAAACACTTAACCATTTCAATAGTAATTTGTCAAATACTTCTCAAATAACTGCGAAAGATTTAGCTTCCTGTTCTAATTGCTAAGAGGAAAGAATCATCCCATCTTTGTATAACTTTAATATTTTTTCTTGTTTTAGTTATAGACTACCAGGATCTCCACTTAGGGCAGTGGGCATCTTCTCTGACAGTGGAACATTGGGCTGGAGCTTTGCCATTGGCTGGTCGAGAAGGAGGAAGCAGAATGTCTGCATTGTTACACCACAGAGTACAAACTTCAGAAGACTTTGGGTTAAGCAATATCTCTTACTCTGCAAATGATTATGTCTTCACCTGTCCTCTTTGATCATCACAAAGTAATGAAAGACCTTTTAGGTCTTATGAATTCAGGTTACACTGTTTTCCAGATGCTCTGGCAGCTGGTACAGGTAGGATTGACCTGTGTTTTGTGGGGAATGGTAGAAGGGAAAGAGCTGATCTTTCCTGTTTTCCAGACCTTGCTGAGGTTAAACATCTGTTCATGTAAAGATAGGTTAACTAACCTTGGTTGTTGTGTAGAAAAGGGTTGAACCTAGAAAAATGCTCTGGTTATTACAGTAGGATTTTTAAAAATATACAACGGAAAGCAAGAAAGAAAAGACCACAACAATAAGTTGAACTTTAAGAAGGAGAGAACAAACCTAAGGATGATAGAGATGGAGGGAGGGAGGGAGCGGGTTTGGGTAGTGATAGGTCAGGCAAAGGGCATAAAGAAATATCATGATTTGTAAGAATGAATATGCCAATAATAAATAAAAATTTTAAATAAAAAATGATATACAGAGATAGGAAAGGCAAAGTTTCCTCCACTCTTATTTTGTTTGGGGATTTAAATTTATGTTGTTTGTGGTACAATTTGAAAATGGTAGATAGCTTCTTTACATTTCACTTTCTGTACTAAATATCATAAATGATTTTAACTTTGTGTGTGAGAGAGAATATATATGTATGCTGATAGGCTTTTTGCCTTTTCTAGGGCTTGTGAAAAATGGAACCAAACTCTCTGAGGACTAAAGTCCCAGCTTTCTTATCTGACTTGGGGAAGGCCACATTGAGGGGAATCAGAAAATGTCCCCGATGTGGCACATACAATGGGACCCGGGGACTGAGCTGTAAGAACAAGACATGTGGAACCATATTCCGCTACGGTGCACGGAAGCAGCCTAGCATTGAAGCTGTCAAAATCATCACAGGCTCTGATCTGCAGGTCTACTCAGTGAGGCAAAGAGACCGGGGCCCTGATTACCGATGCTTTGTGGAGCTAGGTGTTTCAGAGACAACAATCCAGACGGTGGATGGGACGATTATCACTCAGCTGAGCTCTGGACGGTGTTATGTCCCCTCATGTCTGAAAGCTGCTACCCAAGGCGTTGTGGAAAACCAATGCCAGCACATCAAGTTGGCGGTGAACTGCCAGGCAGAGGCCACTCCCCTAACCCTGAAGAGCTCAGTCCTGAACGCAATGCAGGCCTCCCCAGAAACCAAACAAACTATCTGGCAGTTGGCCACGGAACCCACGGGTCCCCTGGTACAAAGGATTACTAAAAACATATTGGTGGTGAAATGCAAGACAAGCCAGAAGCATAGCTTGGGGTATTTGCATACATCATTTGTGCAGAAAATCAGTGCCAAAAGCTTGCCTGAGCGCCGCTTCTTCTGCTCCTGCCAGACTCTGAAATCACACAAGTCGAGTGTCTCTAAGGACGAGGCAGCCCAGAGATGCATTCATTTCTTTGCTTGCATCTGTGCCTTTGCCAGTGACGAGACATTGGCTCAGGAATTCTCAGACTTCTTAAATTTTGATTCCAGCGGTAGGTGGTAATGGTTGACGCAGTTACTCTGTTTTTCTAAAATGGCAATAAAAGAGTCCCACGGATACATTTGGAGATTGTCCTGGCAACCTTCAGAAGCAGTTGCTATATAATTCAAATAAAAGGCATTCCTTCTTTTAAACCTATCAGCACACTTGCATAAAGATTGGTTGGTTGGTTGAAATTAATGATCCCAAGACTTGAGCATTTTTATTAAGACAGTGAATCTAGCAAAGTTAGCTTCACTTTGATTTTTTAACTCTTTCATAGGTGCCCTATGTTAATTTTAAAAAAGAACAAACAGAAAAATCCCTTTTATTCTGGCTTCCTTGCTTGTTTCTTATCTTTGAAGATGAGGGAAACTGGTACCTTGCTCAAAAGAAGACTTTTAAAAGTTTCTATATTAGATCTTTTGTTGTCATTGACATTTTTATCTTGTAGATGCTTTTTATTTTCATTTCTTAATGCTCTGTAGCTGGTGGCAACTCCCAACTTTTCAGTTTTATATTTCTTTATAGAGCCTTCTATCAGGTTGTCTTTGAACAAAAACATATGTTTGGGGGAGTTTTTTAAAGGAACTTAATTTAAAAGCAGGCAATCACAACATAATTTGTTTTGGGCATTTGGATTTTTATAAATTATTTTTTTCTCTATATAGGGGCCCTTACTTTCTCTTGGATAGCATTAGTAATTCAGAAATCTGTTATCTTTTAGGACTTAAAGAGATTATTGTGCCCCAGATAGGCTGCCATTCAGAAACATCAGTATCAGCTTGTGAGTCTGCTGCCTCTAAGCCAAAGAAGAGGAAAAAGGATGAAGTATCTGGTGAGAGGCAGTTTGGTTGGTTGGTTGGTTGGTTGATGGTATTGTCTTTAGAGATTGTTTCATTGTAGGGCCAGCCTGTGGCTCACCTGGGAGACTGTGGTGCTGATAACACTAAGGCCACGGGTTCGGATCCCTATATAGGGATGGCCGGTTAGCTCACTCAGGAGAGTGTGGTGCTGACAACACCAAGTCAAGGGTTGAGATCCCCTTACCGGTCATCTTTTTTTTTTTTTTTCTTTTTTAAAGATAACCGGTAAGGGGATCTCAACCCTTGACTTGGTGTTGTCAGCACCACGCTCAGCCAGCGAGCCAACCGGCCATCCCTATATGGGATCCGAACCCGGGGCCTTGGTGCTATCAGCACCACACTCTCCCGAGTGAGCCACGGGCCAGCCCCTACTGGTCATCTTTTTGAAAAAAAAAAGTAAAAGAGATCATTTTACTGTATTTTATGTGTTTCACTATATCTCAGCAATTACAAGAAATAATTTATGTTCTTACATTTTTTTCCGTGAAAAAAGTTTTACCTTCTATGATGATTCTTTGTCAAGTCAAGCTAAGAGCTGGTTTTGCTGGCCAAAAATAACATCCCATAAAACTCCACTTTTACTATTGTAAATATTTGTTCATCCCTTAAACATTCAGATTAGTCTTACACTTTAATCTGCCTTAGGACAGTGCTATGAGGTTTTCATCCATAGAGGGTTTTAAAAAAATTTTTGACAATGTTAATTATATTTTCCACACTAATTTAGGAATATGGTTTGTTGTCTGCATTTTCAGCATGTGACTATATATATACACACACATACACATATATATATGTTTATGTATATATATTTTTAATTGAAATACTTAATATCAGTGTCAGTTAAGGATTCATATAAATCAATACGAAAATGCTGAAGTAACCTAGCAGATAAGTGTCAGGAGACCTAGGCTCTAAACAAAGTTAAAATACTACCTGGTCCATACATGTCGACCAAACTCCAAACTTATTAGTGAACAGGGAATTGCAAACATTTTCTTTTTGGTGGTTGGCAAGTACAGGGATCTGAACCACTGACCTTGGTGGTGTTTGTGCTCTAACCAACTGAGCTAAGTGGCTAGCCCTGCAAACATTTTAGAACTACAAAATTAAGGACTAGCCAGTTAGCTCAGTTGATTAGAGCACAGCCTTATAACACCAAGGTCATGGGTTCAGATCCCCTTACTGGCCAGCTGCCAAAAAAAAAAGTTAAAACAATGTACATTTTGGTACCATGTTAGCAAAGATTTTTTTTATTATTTTTATTTATTTATTTATTTAATTTTTTAAAATGACCGGTAAGGGGATCTTAACCCTTGACTTGGTGTTGTCAGCACCATGCTCTCCCAAGTGAGCTAACCAGCCATCCCTATATAGGGATCCAAACCCATAGCCTTGGTATTATCAGCACCATACTCTCCCAAGTGAGCCACAGGCCGGCCCCAAGGACATTTTTTAATGAGACCACAGTCGAAGGTGAAATCTGGGCTGTCCAGCATGGCTAGTGTAGTGTAAGTTGCTAAAACCATTTGTAAAAGAAGCTCGTGGTATCTGTTAAGAATCTTAAAATGGCCCTTCCCATAGGGAATATTGCTGGAGGTGGGTCAGATGGTCATGCACAGGAGTTTTGTTGCTGAGAAGTTGGAGAAAGGTGGAGAAACAAAGTGATGTAGTCATTCTGTTTTAGAGAGCCAATTCTGGCAGCAGTATAGAGCAGAGATTGTTAAATGTTTACTTCTTGGTCTTTCCCAGGGAAAAAATAAAAGTTCTTACCCTTTGATTTAGTAGTCGCACTTATAAAAATCTATATTTTATTATTATTTTAAATTGATTCATAATAATTGTACATGTTTATGAGGTACAGTGTCCTATTTTGATACATGAATGTAATGTATAATGATCAAATCAGGATAATTGGCATATGCATAACCTCAAACAGTTATTTCTTTGTGTTGGAAACATTCAAAATCCTCTCTTCTAGCTATTTGAATGTATACAATAAATTGTTCTTAATTACAGTCACCCTACAGTGCTATAGAACACTAGAACTTTTTCCTCCTATACAGGTGTAGTTTTGTATCTGTTAACCAGCCTCTCACTATCTCCCTATCTTTCCCAGCCTTTACTAACCACTACTAAATAATCTTTTTAAAGGAAATAATCCTTGGTACAGGAAAAGCATTTTGTCTAGAGATGTTCACTTTATGGTTGTTGATAATATTGAAAAATTAGAAACAACTAAGGGCCAACCACTTGAGACAGTTAAATGAACCATGGTAAAGCCACTTTACCATAGAATATCAGGGAGCCACCAAAAATGATTATCAAGAATTTGGGGAAATGATTAGATCATTGGATAGCCAGGTAAAGTGCAAAATGCTCACTTACACTTGAATTTCAGAAAAACAACGAATAATTTTTTAGTGTAAGTATCTCATGCAATTTTTTTTTTTTTAAAGATGACCGGTAAGGGGATCTTAACCTTTGGCTTGGTGTTATCAGCACTGCACTCTCCCAAGTGAGCCACAGGCCGGCCCTTCATGAAATATTTAGAACATACTTCTACTAAAAAATTATTCATTGTTTATCTAAAATTCAAAAGAAATATTCTTGTGAAATCTGGCAACCCTGGATTAATCACAGCTACTTAAAAATCAGAAAACTGGCAAAATAAACTGTTCACAGAGAAGAAAATAGAAGACAGCTCCCCAGAAAATTAATTGTGATTGTCTGAGAGGTGGGAGCAATGGCTGAATTTTTTTTTTCCTTTCACTTCTGTTCCTCTCCCTCACCCATTTCCTATAAAGAGCTTAAGAAAGTTAAAATTTTATATATAAAGGTTAAAGCTAATTCCTTCTAGAAACTGTGAAGCTAACCTAGAGATTAGCAAAGACTGTTTGTATTTTAAGACATGTTTATAAATACTGTAATGATTTGTGGTTAAGGTGCACAGATGAACAGTTCACTATTGCCTCAAGATGCAGTGAACAGTAATCTAAGAAAAAGTGGCCTGAAAAAGCCTGTGGTTGCTTCTTCATTAAAAAGGCAAGGTAAGTTTCCATTCCCTAGAGTAGGCTACAGTAGTGGAAAATCATCCTAAAGAAGCTAAAAAAAAAAAGGGCCGGCCCGGTGGCGCACTGGAGAGTGCAGCGCTTGGGAGTGCGGCGGCGCTCCCACCAAGGGTTCGGATCCCATGTGGAGACCGGTTCCCGCTCACTGGCTGAGCGCGGTGCGGGTGCAACACTGAGGGTTGCGATCCCGTTGCCGGTCCCCGGTACGGGCACGACACCAAGGGTTGCGATCCCGTTACCGGTCAGTAAAAAAGACAAAAAGGAAAAAAAGAAAAGAGAAGCTAGAAGCAGTATAATAAAAAAAAAAAAATGCTGCATGTTGTCCCTCAAAGAGTGCTAACTAACGTAAATACTAGCAGGCATTGTCCTGTCCCACTGGTTTCAAGTCATGTTCAAAACTAAATTGTGTCTAAAATCACAGAGATGGAGAACAGATTAGTGGTTGCCAGGCACTAGGGAAGGTTTGGGAAGGAAGTAACAGCAGCAGTAAAAGGGCAGTAGAGGAATCTTGTGATGGAACTGTATTGTGTCTTGACTGTGGTGGTAGTCACAGAAGCCTACACGTGTGATAAAATTGCATAGAACGGCTGGCCAGTTAGCTCAGTTGGTTAGAGCATAGTGTTATAACACCAAGGTCAATGGTTCGGATCTCTGTACTGGCCAGCTGCTAAAAGAAAAAAAAAAAATTTTGCATAGAACTGTATGCACATACACCACACATAAGTGCATGTAAAACTGGTGAAATCTGAACAAGGTCGCTGTATTGTATCCATCATTTTCCTGATTGTGATATAGGACTACAGTTGTACAAAATGTTAATATTAGGGAAATCTGGATGAAGGGTATATAAAGTTTGTGTTTCTTACACCTGTGTGTGAATACAGAATTTTCTCAAAAAGTTTCTTTAACTACATTTAAAAAAAAGCCTTAAGATTGCTTTAAAAAAAAAAAAAAAAAAAAAGCTCCCAAAACAAACAAGAAAATTAAATTATGTCTTTTGTTTTGTTTTTTCGGTGGCTGGCTGGTGAGGAAATCCAAACCCTTGACCTTGGTATTACAAGGCCTTGCTCTAACCAACTGAGCTAACCAGCCAGCCTCAATTACATCTTTATTTTATTTTTATTTTTTTCCTTTTTGTCTTTTTTCGTGTCCGGCAATGGATCGCAACCCTCAGTGTCGCGCCCGTACCGGACCGGGACCGGCAACGGGATCGCAACCCTCGGTGTTGCGCCCACGCCTCGCTCAGCCAGTGAGCGGGAACCAGTCTGTATGTGGGATCCAAACCCTCGGCGGGAGCACCGCCACACTCCCAAGCGGTGCACTGTAGCAGTGCGCCACCGGGCCGGCCCCTCAATTACATCTTTAAATCAAACATTACTGACATGTTTTGGCAGCAGGTACTTTGCAGGATGTATTCCTCTTATTGTTTATTGCCCACATGCAGTTGGTATGGAGATTCAATGTTGAAGAAAAACTATTTTACAATTATGTAGTGATAAATATTTGTTGAGAAAGACACATATAGCCTGTTCTCCAAAGTCAGTGAAGCTTGAGAGCATATCTAAAAGCAACAGCAGGGATATCCTTCTGAATTTATGAAATAGAATGACTTAATTTGAACATAATTTATGTATTTAAATATATCACTTTTCTACTCAGAATAATTAAACTTGTACATTTGGGGATCACCATTTTCTTAATTCTTCTTAATTGTATAAAAATGGTTTAGTTCAATTTTGGCAGTATTTATTGAATACTTGCTATGACGTGGCTAGTCATGTAGTATGGCTGGCTGATTAAAAACTGGATGTCATCCCTGCCCTTGTACTCTAGTTTTTAAGACAAGGCCAATACATAATTAGAGAATAATACAAGATTGAATCTCAATTAATTAATTCATTAAGAACTTATACATTATAGGAATAAATATTTCTGGAAGGTCAGGAAGTAAACAAACCAATAGTATCCAGCAGAAGATTTTAAACAGTTTTTTTGGTCACTTCCTTTGGTGAAAAGAAAAAAGAAGATAGCTTCAATTCAAATTATCACTGATGCATTTACTTATGATAATTTGTTTCAAATGAATAGTAGTTATAGTATTATTTCTCTCTGTATAAAGGGTGATGTACTTCTGACATGTGAAGACATTTGAGGAGAAGAAATAGAACAGAATGGTAGATTTGTGGAAGGCTCTTGAATTTGGGGATCATCCAGACTCATACCCTCATTTTAGAGAAGAGGAAGTTGAGACATGGACTCTGGTCAGTCAGTGGTAATGAGAGTCCTAGGTCCCATAGCCTCTTGACTCCCAACTCTAAACTCTTGACTCCATTAAATTCTACCACTTGTCACCATTTACTCCAGGGCTGCAAGGTTTTGCTTTTTCACTTTTATTTAAAAGTGAATTTTTGTTTATTTTGCAGTTCTGAATACAAGGTTTTAGATTTTAAGTGTAAAGATATCATAGCAACCCTATGCATCACTCAGTCTTAGATATTTGTGCTCAACCTTGATATGAAACAAATAGTTTCATTATTGAGAGGGTTTGGGGCATGTAGATACATGTTCATCATATTTATTTATAAATCTCTAAAACAACCATTATATAGGACCATTCTTTAATATACAGTTTAGCGTTAAAAGACCGGCAACTTTCAGTGATAAATAATCTTATACCGGGCCGAGCCCGTGGCGCACTCGGGAGAGTGCGGCACTGGGAGCACAGCAGCACTCCCGCCGCGGGTTCGGATCCTATATAGGGATGACCTGTGCGCTCCCAGCGCTCACTGGCTGAGCGCGGTGTGGCCGGTCTCAAAAAGGACGAAAAATAATAATAATAATAATAACCTTATACCTATTAGCCTCTAAGAAGTTTTTAATTCTTATTTTCTAAATGGATTCTTAAAAAAAAAAGTCCCAGAATCTTGCATTTTACTTAATTTATCTACTTACTTTTAATTTTGGCTTCTTGTTCTTTTTTTCCTGCACAAACTCCTTAACTTTTTCAAATTTCAATGAACTGTTTATTATGTAAGTTACTGAAGAGGTGTTTTTTAAAATCTTTTCCTAGCTTGTGGTCAGCTTTTAGATGAGGCACAAGTGACCTTATCCTTCCAAGACTGGCTGGCCAGTGTCACAGAACGCATTCATCAAACCATGCACTATCAGTTTGATGGTAAGTATTGGTCACCCAACTGGCCTATTGCTGAGAGCAGGAGAAATTAAAATAATTATGCTGTAGTTCTAGTCTGTTTTGATAAGAAAAGTAGTTGGACTTCAGTCCAGAGAGCATTGGGCCACAAGAAAGTAGAAATCTAAATTGAAAGAAAAGAATAATCATATAATTAAAATGCAGGACCAGCAAAATGAACTTAGAGATAGAAGAGAAAAAACAGAGTGAATAATAAGTAAAGGTAGATAGCTTTGATCTTGTGTGTGTGTGTGCGTGCGTGTGCGTGTGTGGAGGTGTGGTGAGGGATCAAAGCTTTAGAAGATCGTTCTAACCCTCAAACTTAAAATCCATTGCCTTAAAAGCATCGCTCATCCTTGACAGATGGTTTCCAGCCTTTGTCCAGTGACAAGAAGCTTGCTGCTTTTTGAGGCAGTTCATAACATTGTTGGACAATGATAGCTGTGAGAAAGGTCTTCCTCATGCTAAGTGGAAGTGTTTGTTTATAATACTTCCTGTTGGTTCTTATTCTGTGCTCTAGCCACACGGAATAGATTTGTTCCTGTTTCCAAATAACAGACCCTGCAACTGCACACACACAAATCCATTGCTCTGCTTGAGAATCTTCACTTGTCCGAGAAATACATCTCAGGTTCTTCAAACAATCCTCATGGCATAGTTCTAGACCTCATATTATCTTGATATTCTTTGCTGAATATATTCCAGAACATCATTTTAAAAATAAAGCACCCAGGCCGGCCCGTGGCTCACTCGGGAGAGTGCGGTGCTGATAACACCAAGGCCCCGGGTTCGGATCCCATATAGGGATGGCCGGTTAGCGCACTGGGTGAGCGTGGTGCTAACAACACCAAGGCAAGGGTTGAGATCCCCTTACCAGTCATCTTTAAAAAATAAAAAAATAAAAAATAAAGCACCCTGAGCTGAATAGTAGCCTGATGGCAGACACTCAGTGGGAGAGGTGAGTTTTGAAGGGTTAAGAACAGTTATAGTTTCATGGTAAGGAAAGGGACAAGAATGGAGGTTTTGAAATACATACTTACATATTAATTCAGAATAAATAAAACTTTAAAAATTACATTTTAGAAAAACAAAATTAGCTAAGAAGGGTTATAAAGAGAGAATCTGGCTTTTTTCTTTTTAAATTTTATTTATTTATTGTTGGAAATAATGTAATAAATACCTATTACCTTGCCTCCCAAACAGCAAACATAGCACTGACAATACCGTAAACTCTGCACTTGTGGTCCTCCTCCGTCCCATTCCTGCACCACCCCCCACCCAACTAACACCCTCTCACCATCTCCATTATCACCACCTTTGTCCGAATCACATCAGCTGTCTCCTGGACTACGTGAGTCTCTCTCTTTCATGAGGGCTTTTCAAGATGAATTCTTAAACCTAAGCTGTAGCATCACATCCACTGAGTTTTGGTGAGTTCTTTGAAAGCTGTAATGATCCCTCTGTGTAGCCCATAATCTAATTTCAAGAAAAAAGGATCCTAAAATTCCTTTGTGTGGTGACTTCTTTAAAGTGCCCAGGTACTAACATTTTAGTGGCTTAAAAGCAGTGACAGTTTTGTCATTGACATTCTGAATTCAATAAAATAGGTAAAATTAATGGAAAGATTGTAAAGTCTTTCTATAAAATTCTACAAAATCTTTCATTTTTATTTTTCTTGGCTTGACCTGTGTTTCAAAAAGGCATCTGAGGGCTGGCCCGTGTCTCACTCAGGAGAGTGCGGTGCTGATAGCACCGAGGCCCCGGGTTTGGATCCTATATAGGGATGGCCGGTTGGCTCACTGTCTGAGCGTGGTGCTGACAACACCAAGTCAAGGGTTAAGATCCCCTTACCGGTCATCTTTTAACAAAAAAAAAGGCATCTGAACTCTGTCCTAAGAGTCTTTCTTTAAGAGATATTCTTTCAGTTTTATCTAGGCAGGTAGAAGTTCTTTTTTTTTTTTAAAGATGACCAGTAAGGGGATCTTAACCATGGCTTGGTGTTGTCAGCACCACACTCAGCCAGTGAGCGAATCGGCCATCCCTATATAGAACCTGCGGCCTTGGTGTTATGAGCACTGCACTCTCCTGAGTGAGCCATGGGCCGGCCCTAGGCAGGTAGAAGTTCTGTGTTTGTGTGCTTGGTCCTGGATGTTTTCCCTCTGCTAGGGTTAGTACCTTAGGCAGAATTTTTAAGGAAAACTCTGAACTCTCTCTCTGTTGACTTTTTGTTGACTAATGTCTTGCAAGTTTCTTTAAAAGGTTTGTTTTTTCAAATATTTTACCTGCCTTGAAATCATATTCAGAGAAAAAGACTGATGCTTATTGGATAAGTAGTGTCCTAACTTTGTAGTCCCTTGGCGTTCGTGGTCCTGACGAACTGGGTGAGAGCATGTAGTTACTTTGCTTATAACTGAATTCTGGGGCTGGCCAGTTAGCTCAGTTGGTAAGAGCACAGCCTTGTGATGTCAAGGTCAAGGGTTCAGATCCCCATACCAGCCATCCATCAAAACAAAAGTACTAAATGCCAATGGCAAGTACCTGGGCATAGTGAGTAGGAGTGAATCAAGTGGAGGAGCCGATTAGTTTCTCCTTAACAAAGACTCATTTTGCTGGTCTTATTGCATTTCATATACCCTTTAAGGGGGAAAAATGCATGCTGTGGTGGTGGTTACAAAATTGGAGATTTGAAGTTATCCTGGGTGGATGACAAGGGTCCACTGTGTTTTTTATAGATTGCAAAGGATCAAGAGAAGGGCTGGTGACAGTGCTTGGCTTATAAAGGCCAATGAAAGCCTTCTTTTTGCCTCTTCATTTTGGGCTTTCTTTTAGTTATTACTGCCCTTCAATTCCTTTTCTTCCACTTCTCCCTGTACATCAGAAGGTCCACTCAATTTCTTTAAATGAGTTCCTTCTTATTTCCCATAGGCAAACCAGAGCCACTGGTGTTCCACATTCCTCAGTCCTTTTTTGATGCACTGCAACAGAGAATATCCATAGGAAGTGCAAAAAAACGGCTCCCCAATTCTACCACAGGTACGGGATCTTTCCTCAGGAATAGAGATAGATGTCTTGACCTTAGAGAATTATGTTTGGAAAAAATGTGTGTGGAATTTCCAGGGTTAGGACTTCTGGTCACATCCTTGGAGCATGAAGCCTTCGATAATCAGCTCTTGGAATAATGACCACAGTTTTCAAAGACCCCATACTTATTCCAGTAAGAGTTAATGGAAAGATTCGGAAAGTGCAAGCTTGGTAAAAGAAGAACAATGAAGTTCAATGCAGGTGCCTACCGAGAAGTTTGATATTTTCTAGATATGGACCAATTTCCACAAAATCATTGCAGGCTGCAATAGTTATTTGGGTGGGCTTCTTAGAAGCAATGGATTATTTGTTTTTTGTTTTGGGGAGTTTTTTTTGAACTTCAGAATTACTTGATTTTTTTTTTCTTTTTGATGTATATTCTTTTTTTTTTTTGTAACATAATTGATTGTACATATCTGTGAGGTACGGAGTTAAATGTCAATTCCTGTGTGCAATATGTAATGCTCAAATCAGGATAATTGATATATTCAACATTATACAATGTAATTGTTTTTCATGGCCCTTTACCAACTCCTAAAACTTTTTGATGATTCCCAATTTTTGATGAAGGAAAATTTTATTTTTAGAATAATTCTTAGGCTTGGAACACTATATAATTACATTTTTCAGGTACTTGCTTCCTGGTTTTATATAGCATCTTTCTTCTAGAGATCTAGAAGAGAGGAAATGAGAGAGAAAAGGAGGAAAAAGGATTGCTTGGTGGCAAATAGCCCAAGAGTAACTACAACTAGAGATTAATGGCATTTCTTCAGTAAATTATTTGATGATATAATAGTGACTTCTTGAGGTTTAACTCTGTTTTTGAATAGTGCAAGCTGTAAATCACTATATTTGGGGCCCTAAAAATCTTTGTTTTTACACTTTATCTGATTTTTTTTTTTTTTTAAAGATGACCGGTAAGGGGATCTTAACCCTTGACTTGGTGTTGTCAGCAACACGCCCAGCCAGTGAGCGAACCGGCCATCCCTATATGGGATCCGAACCCGGGGCCTTGGTGTTATCAGCACCGCACTCTCCCGAGTGAGCCACTGGGCCGGCCCATATCTATCTGATTTTTAAGGCAGTGTTGAGTCTCTTCCAGATTAAACTTTAGACCTAATATATTAATTTTAACCCATCCCTTAACTATTTTTGCAAGCTTTGATGGAACTCCTTTATAGTCCTGCAGGTGGGGCAATAGATTGGTAACCATATTAGTAGTCTTAAACTCCATGTAATTATTTTAAGGACCGTGATTTGACCTCTTATATCTAAAGTTATAGGAGGCTGTAAGAAACTGTTTTATAATGGAATCCTGTGGGTGTAGCTTTACCAAACAAATTCCTATGTTGGCAAAAATAAGTAACATGTCAAAGAAGCATCAGAAACTTTACATAGCAGAAATTCATATCAATAGGTTTGTCATATTTCTGTCAAACCCTATTATATATTTGCGCCTAGAGCAACTTTTTGAAAGTGTTGAGATTCTGTAAGGAAAGAATAGCACAGCACTGAACTCTCCAGTAATTGAGTAACAAGTACAAAAGAACATTATTTTTAGTCTAATTTTGTCCCTTTTATTACATTGAAGCTTTTGTTCGGAAAGATGCCTTGCCACTGGGAACCTTTTCCAAGTATACCTGGCATATCACTAATATTCTGCAAGTTAAACAAATCTTAGATACTCCAGAGGTAAGAGTTTATTTCTATAATAGTGGGAGGGTGAAGAGAGGAAAGCTGTCATTCTAAATGTGGGGAGGATATTTGCACCAGTTCCTTGCATTACAAATGCCAAAGAGAGTCCCTTTTTTCATGCTAAGAGATTTTTCAGAGATATCCATGACTTTATAGTTCTGACTCTGTTTTGTTTGTATTTTTTTAATGTTTTTATTTTTGTGACTCTGATTTTAATAGGTATTCCCTACAGCTTGAAAAAGTATCTTAAAATAGAGCATGCTTTTTCTCTCCTTCGGGATCACAAAACAGGGTAATTTTTCTTATAAATTAAATAACGATCCTCTAATAGTTATGGTGAGCTAGGATGTGACTGGCAGGCAGCTAGAAAGTATGTAGTTAATTTGAGACGATATACTATTTGTGAAGTCACTGGGTCCAGGCACAATTAAACCCTCCTCTCCAAAGTGAAGTTTTATTCTCATTAGAGAAATGACCTTTAATTATTGTTTTCTTTCACCAGAAAACCTTAGGCATTTTAAAAAATATTTTTAAGCAGATCCTGAAAATTTGAGAGGGATTTTCCCTATCTACAGTAATGGAATATTGTAGGAAATCCAGCAGAATGTGATTTCATATGTTAAGATTAGCTTAATTGCAAGTCATTGTTATTTCAGGAAAAGAATAAGTTGTTTGGTAGCTACAGAGCTTACGTGGGTACCCTAAAAAAGGCCTGGGTTAGCATCAAAGACACTGGAGGAACTTCTCAAAATTCAGGATGTCTCAGAGGCAGCTTCTAGCCTGGAACAGGAGGCCTTCAGGAAGGCTCCAAAACAACCCAGAGCAAAGGCAAGTGTGGGAAGAGAGGTGATGGTCATCAAGCTTCTGTCTCTTGGATGCTGTTTATCTATATTGCCTCATTTTCCCTCCCAGCCATGCACTGGTACTAACTACATTTTGTAGATGAGAAAACAGGCTCTGAGAAGTTTGGTAACTTACTCTGGGTCACCCAGCTGTTCAATGACAAAGACAGAATTCAGTTCAGGTTCTATCTGGGTCAGTCCCAAGGACAGTGTGAAGCATCCCAGATGTGAGGTGAGCTGTAGGTGCTATCAACAGAGTATTTAGGAGAAGAAAACTGCTAGCAGAGCAGTAGAGGAAGGAATAAAACTGATTTTTAGAGCAGGTCTGTGCAGCCAGTAGCAGTCGTGTAGCCATGAAAATGTTAGATGTTCAGTTGGTATGTGGCTTGGCTGGGGTTGAAATTAAGGTTATAGAGAAAAAAGGAAAGCCACAAATGATGTAAGGGAGAAGAGGCATATTTGTTGACAGGGTTTACTTGAAAATACAGGGGAAGTTTTAATTAATTTGAGTGTACTTAACAAGAAAGGAGAACTTATAAAAGATCTGGGGTTGGACAGTTAGCTCAGTTGGTTAAAGCATGACACTGGTAACACCAAGATCCAGGGTCCCATCCCTGTACTGGCCAGCTGCCAAAAAAAAAAAAAAGATCTGTTATCATCCAAGTGTGTGTCTACTTTGAAAGTTTTCCTTTTCTCACCTTTCTTGGTATTGTCTCGGTGTCCAGATGCCCTTGGAAATCACTCGTAGCTTTATCCAGAACCGTGATGGGACTTACGAGCTGTTTAAATGCCCTAAAGTGGAAGTAGAGAGCATAGCAGAAACCTACGGTCGCATAGAAAAGCAACCAGTGCTACGACCCTTGGAACTAAAAACTTTTCTCAAAGTTGGTAAGTGAATTTCAACAGTGCATCTTCCTTTGAGAGTCAACCAACATTACACTGTCTGAGGCTTTGGATCTTGACCTTAAACAAAGAAGACACATTCGTTCATCTTGTAAAGGCAATCAATCATAGGATAAGGAGTTTTATTTCATTTCAGCCAGTGCTTTCAAATAAAATTACAGAAGTAATACATGTTCATTATAGAGAAATCATAGATTTCATTATAGAGAATAAAGGGCAAAAATAAAAACTAACTATAATCCCACCCCCCACAGACCACATCACTATTAAGATTTTAGCATATACCCTTTCAGACTCTTTTCTATGCATGAAGAGTTTCCAAAATATGGGATTATACCTCAGCTGCTTTTTTCACTTAATGATATATCATGAACAGCTTTCTATGTCTATCCTCAATGATATTTTTTTTTTCCTTTTTGTCTTTTTTCGTGTCCGGCAACGGATCGCAACCCTCAGTGTCGCGCCCATACTGGACCCGGACCGGCAACGGGATCACAAACCTCGGTGCTGCGCCCGCACCTCGCTCAGCCAGTGAGCAGGAACCGGTCTGTATGTGGGATCCGAACCCTCGGTGGGAGCGCCACCATGCTCCCAAGCAGCGCACTGTAGCAGTGCGCCACCAGGCCGGCAGTGCGCCACCAGGCCGGCCCTTCGATGATATTTTTAAAAAAATTTTTTTAGGGCCGGCCCGGTGGCTCACTGGAGAGTGTACCGCTTGGGAGCGTGGCGACGCTCCTGCCGAGGGTTCGGATCCCATGTGGAGACCGGTTCCCGCTCACTGGCTGAGCGTGGTGCGGGCGCAACATTGAGGGTTGCGATCCCGTTACTGGTCAGTAAAAAAGACAAAAAAAAAAAGAAAAAAAGAAAAATAAATAAAAAAATAAAATTTTTTTAATTGTTGTAAAAGATACATAACAGAAAATTTACCATTCTACTTGTAGGTGTACAGTTCTGTGGCATTAAGTACATTCACACTGTTGTGCAAACACTACCACCATCTATCTCTAGGACTTTTTCATCTTCCTCAAGTGAAACTCTGTACCTGTTAGGTGATAACTCCCCACTTCTGCCTCTCCCCAGCCCCTGGCAACCACCGTTCTACCTTCCGTCTCTATAAATTTGACTACTCTAGGTACCTCTTAAAAGTGGAATCATAGGGCCGAGCCCGTGGCGCACTCGGGAGAGTGCAGTGCTGGGAGCGCAGCAGCACTCCCACTGCGGGTTTGGATCCTATATAGGGATGACCAGTGCGCTCACAGCACTCACTGGCTGAGCGTGGCCGGTCTCAAAAAGGACAAAAAAAAAAAAAAAAAGTGGAATCATATAGTGTTTGTCCTTTTGTGATTGGCTTCTTTCATTTAGCATAATGTCTTCAGGGTTTACCCATGTTGTAACATATGTCAAAATTTCCTTCCTTTTTAAGGCTGAATAATGTTCCATTGCATGTATGTGTCACATTTTGTTTATCATTCATCTGTGGATGGACACTTGGGTTGCTTCTGCCTTTTGGCTACTATGAACACATTGTTATTTTAAACAGCTTAGAAAGATTATAATATTTATAGAATTTACTCCTATCGGCCATGTATGAGTTTATCTTTTTTTAATCTTTGTTGATTTGATAGACAAAAAATGTTATCTCACTTATATTTTTCATTCTCCTCAATATTAGTAAGGGTAAACTTTTCATATTAGTCATTTGTGTTTGTGAATTCTTTTTCTTTGTCTATTTTTAATCAAGGTATTTGTTTATATAATTTAATAACAACAACTATAACAGGCAGCACCTAATGAGCACCTACTTTGTGCCAGGTATTATTTTCAGTGCTTTATAGGCATTAACCCATTTAATGCTCATCCCCATTTACAGAGGAAGAAACGAGGTGAAGATAGGCACAGCCACTTATCCAGGGTTACACAGCTAGTAAGTGGTGGAGCTGGGCTTCGACCCTTAAGGCAGTTTTAGACTCCAGAGCCTGCACTCCTATCTAATACTTACCTGTCTCTCCACTGGCTAGACTGTAAGCCCTTCCAGGGCAGTGAACTACATCACTCCTGTTCATCATCATACTCTAACACGGCACAGTGTCTGGTCTGTAATAGGTATTCAGTAAAGACTTGTTGAGTGAATGAGTGCCAGCCACAGTTTTTGATTGTTTGTTTTGGCAGCTGGCCTGTTAACCTTGGTGTTATCAACACCAGGCTCTCCCACATGAGCCACCGGCCAGCCCCTCAACCATAGTTTTAATTATTTTAGTTTTGTGATGCGTCTAGGAGGCCCCCTTCATTTCTCTAATTGTGCATTTATTCTTCCAGGAGAAACTTAGAATTTAAAATTATTTTGTCAAGTTCTTGTCAATATATTTTTAGGTATATTATGTCTTTTATTGCTTTTGTAAATGGGATATCTATTATGTTTCAAACTTGTTACTGCCAGTGCATGGAAAGCTCTTGGTTTGGGTATACTTATTATCAAATTTGTCCCCTTAATGAAGTCCTAGTAGTGGTAGCAGTAAATCAGTTGTTTCCCTCCAGTTGCTGGGAAATCAGTGATATCACCTGTTTAACAATGTTCATTAAACATTTGTATCTCACTGTTTTTTTCTTGTTAAATTAGCTAGGATTTCAGGAGCAAAAATGAATAAAAGCTGGTAGTCATGTTATCTTTTCTGACTAGTAAAAACTCCTGTGTAGCATTTTCCAAGTCTGTCTTGAAGAAGAGGTAGTAATGAGTATTCTGTGAAAAAAGCATTCCATACTCAAATGTTGGAGAAATTTTACATATTATATATTTTATATTTTGAGACCCTTGATTATAAGATGCTCTGTTGATTTAGTAATAGCTTTTTTGGAGGGGGAAAAAAACTTTGCCATATGAAAACTGTTCTGGTTTTAAGATTCACTCAGATCTCAGAAAATGTTACAGTTGAAGTAGGGAGGTATTAGGGAGTAGTGCCTTAGAATATAATTTTCTCTCTTGGAAATTCATCCTATAAATTTGCATATTAGAAAGATCCTGAAATAAAAACACCTGTTGAACTTTATTTAACATAAGATTTCCCAAAGTATTTGACCAGTGAATACTTTTCAGGGGAATAGCATTAGCAGTTCACAGAATATTTTTCTGGGAAAAGCTGCTGTATGTTTCACTATTAAATAGTGGGCTTTGGTTATGGATTTCAGATAAATTTTTAAAATTATTTTAATGACATATTTTTATTAAGTATTTTTATTAGGAACTAATATTGAATTTTTTTTTTTTTTTTTTTTTTTTTTTCCCGGGTCCCACAAAGGGTCCCAACCCCCCATGGTTCCCCCCTCCCGGGCCCGGGTC